ATTCCTGAGTTGCTTACAAAATGCCTATCCATCTTGTTGATCCATCATTTTAAGCACTATACGCATGTATGTGCATATAGCTCCAATGTTGAAAAAAATATGAAATTGAAAGCAAAACAATAAGTATTGAAATTGTACGCACAATAAGATGGTTTTTTTTCGATAACATGTCATTTTATGTAAATGTATTATTGTTATAATACATAGTATTATATTATATACATGTGGCAAAAAATATGCTGCTTCTTCAAAAAATTGGATAGGTACTTTGTAAGCATCTTGTATTACATTTCGTGTTGATGAACAGCCACATAAAAGTACAGGACAGTAAACTGGTCAGCAAATTGTGTGGGAAAGAAAGTTACAATGACATTTATTAAAGAAAATGTTGCTTTTGTGTCCTTTGTAAGAATAATTCATTTATCTTAATCAAATTCAATGTCAATTGAAAGGACTACAAAGTTCATTTTCATGTTCCATTATTCATAACTTATAAATACGTTAGTATTTGCGTTACAGCAAGACTAAAAGAAACATTTTCTCTGGACTCGGCCAGATCGCAGATCTGCGCGAGTTGCACGTGTTTCTCTCGATTGATTTCTTCCCTGTGTACTGGGAGGATAAGAGGTTGATTTGATAAAATGATCCCCAATTAATGAAAGACACATTCCCTGTAATCGATAAATGCGCGCGGGCAATCGTAGGCAATCGTAGCGATTAGGGTTGCTCATTCGCGTCTCTCGCTTTGAAATCGTGCTGTCTTTGATGAGGGCTCTCTTTTGCAGAAGAAAAAGGATGTGTGGTTGGCCATTGGTAGTTTAAAGACCAAGGCATGCTCAACCCAAGATTGCAATGCTTTCCTAAAACCCGATAAAGCGATTGGTAAGTTTGAGCCAGGTGCATGCGACCGCGTCGCATCGCTATGCTCGCCCCGTCTGTCTCTCTCTCTCTCTCTCTTTCTCTCTCTGTCTATCACACATGCTCTCTCTCACCCTTGCTCTCTTCTTTTCTTGTACCTTCCCCTTCCTCAGCGCTCTCGGACACCTATATAGAGTCCTGGAAAAATAAAACGAACAGAAAAAAAGATGAGAAAGAGCACGAGAATTGACGCCGACGTCCGTCTCTGTCATCCAACGTAAAAAAAAAAAAAAAAAAAAAAAAAATAGCATTGCTCTTCCGCAGCAAGGAGAAAGGTTGCTACCGTAGTAATATCGACAGGATAAGAAATAGAAAAGAGATTCTCTCGTTCCCAATTCTTGTCGAATTTGTATTTGTAGAGAACCCAGAAAAGAGATATAATAACGTTATATTTGTATATAATTTCATATAGCTAAAAAAAACACTGTTGTTACGAAATTTACTAACGTTCTACGATTTGCTTTTTGTCCCCTTGTTCGCGCGTCCCTGCCACATCGACTGGCTGGCATGGCATTCAACTGTTTGCTGTTCGTAGGAGCAGGACTCCTCCTCCAAAGACAAGTCCTCCAAGGAGAATGGGTCTAGTCGCAAATCGTCAGGGTGAGTAGAACATCTTTTATGAATTATTTAGTTATATTAAGGATTAATTAAGTGGAGAATGTAAATGAAGAGTTACGAAACTCTTTTAATTGCACGACCCTTGTATTTAACTTTGAAACTAAGCAAGATTATAGGTGACCCTATCACGTGTTAAAACCTGTCAGTATCTAAGGAGTGTCTTTTACTAAGACATAATTATCGACCTAATTGATATTGTTTCGCTTTTATTCGTCACATTTTGAGATTTTTATTTGGGTTGCTTTTAAAATAAGCAATTTGTATCGATACTGAATTATGGCATTGAATGCGATGCATTAGTAATAAAGGGGTGATTGATAATATGATAAAGATTAATCGTGTTTCGCACAGTGATTAAAAATTAGAGACTTTAATTTTTTCCAATTTAATTTCGATGGACTTTAATCGCAAGAAAAGATAGCGATAAAATTTGGAAACTATAAAGGATCCATTTTCATTCAATCTTCTTGCATCAAAATCCTTTTGCATCGAATCTTTGTTAGGATATTCTCTTAGCCCGAAATTATACTTATAAAATTGTATAAGTTGCCAAAATTGTCAAAGTTTGAACAAAACTATAATTCGAGTATTGTATTAGCATGCTAATTCTGATGCACTGCAAATTTATATTGTCAATTCGAGTTATACTAAAGAGCAAAATTTTTACTAAAGTGTTATTCCTTGCGTCACTGCTGTGATTTCGCATAACCATATCTCTACGCCATAATTGAAGCAGCGTTAGTCACTCGCCTTAACAGATCCATCTGAAGTTTTATTCTCTTTGTTATAGACCCCATACAATTAGTGTAAATGCTGGTTAATTTGATAATTCCAAAGGTTAAACCAGACGATGGTAAGTATATATAGGAAGAATATCTGTATTTTCAGACTCCTCTCGCGAACTCGAGATGCATATTTTCCTTAATAATTCTTAATAAAGACAAAATTATATAGAATCACGAGAACGCGTGTTCTTGCGTTATCTTAACACAAACCGAGTCTTGGGAAACTCGATAATTTAAATACGAAAGTTTGAAAACGCAACTTTGTTTTCTCTGCCTGAATTAGGTAGTGCTATAGAATTAAAAACGCGCATTTTCGAGCGCTCCATTTTATATGTACCACACATCTATCTAAATTATTTTGTATAAAAGAAAAATGATATAATACTATGTAAAATTCAATTCAAGTACACTAGTGATATATACTCTGCAATAACAAAATTTCGTAATTATTATAAATATCGATGAAGAGATGTTGAGATCTTTTTTATTTCTAACTATATATATTATTCTATAAATTTTAGGAGTTATTTTGCAAGATGTTTCAGACCTATCTTCAATATTTTTTTAGAGATCTCTAATCAATTTTATTGTTTATTTATTATCTTTTCAATATTTAATCGTTTATGGCTCAAATATCTTGAAATCTTGACTTTGACATTCTTTTTAGTTTGGTGTCTAACATAAGCTAATATGTCTGATATATCCTGTGACATACATCTGCAATAACGATTACACATGGATACCTTGTGTCTCCACTTTGATACACTTAAAGGTTTATTGAATTGAACATTACTCGATCCCCTTCATTTTAAGCGAAACTTTTTAATTGAAGTACTTTTCTTTTTATAGGAAAAGCAAACATCGTTCGCGTTCTCGTTCACGATCTCGAGATCGAGATCGCGATCGTCGGGAAAGGGACAGAGATCGGCGGGAGCGTGACAGAGACAACAGGAACCGGGATCGCGACCGTCGACGCAGATCGCGAGACAGGCGGGACCGCGACAGGGATTGTGACAACGATAAGGACAGGGATAGGCGAGACAGAGACAGAGACAGGGATAGGGATAGGGATAGGGATAGGGATAGAAGAAGAAAGAGATCACTAACGCCGCTCACCCTTCCCAGAGCCCGACCGCCGTTCGGCAAAGGTCACAGTCCTCTTGGAATGTAAGTATACCTTATATATATTGAGACATTTATACTTTGATTAAAGAATATCGTATTTGAATAAGGATCGAAATGTTCCGCTATTTACAACATATATCGTAAATAGTAGATCATTTGCGTTTACCGTCTCTTATTTGATCTGTCTATACATTTAAATTTTTTTTGAAACAAGCCAGGTTGTATTTAATTTATGATAAAATATAATTAACTTAATTAAAAGTTTTAAATAATCTTTTTTCTCTAAATCGTAATGATGGAATCAATTGAAGCATGATACTGTTGTATGACGAGATATTTATCTTTGTTTCTCAATGGCTATATGGCCGATTCCAAGTAGATTTTATAACCGGGAGATTGTATGTTTCAAAATGCATAATTGACTAGACCCAATCATAAAATTTGCAATCTATGATTTTGGGGGATGTATTTATGCTAAATTAATTTGGATATGAGATTTCACTTATTTTGTTACTGTTGTGCACATATTATAGTAACAAAAATTAATATTCAACAATATCAAACTTATAAAGCAGAATTTTTCTTGAATTTTTCAACACATATTATGCTCTCTTTGTTATATTTACTGATAATAATTTTTTTTTTTTTTTTTAGAAATGATGAATTGACGCCAGAGGAGCGAGATGCCCGGACTGTTTTTTGTATGCAACTAAGTCAGCGAATACGTGCACGTGATTTGGAAGAATTCTTCTCGAGTGTCGGAAAAGTGCAGGATGTTAGATTAATTACATGCAATAAAACTCGAAGATTTAAGGGCATTGCTTATGTCGAATTCAAAGATCCAGAAAGTGTGACACTCGTGAGTATATTTGGATTATATTATTATGCAATTGAAGATAACTGATCAAATAGTATTTTTTGAAATAATAATGTTTCCTAAGAGTTCTAAACAAAAATTTTTTAAAGAATTAAACAAATAACTGAGAAAATATATTATTTACCTTTATATTGCTTTGCAGGCTCTTGGTCTATCAGGTCAGAAGCTCTTAGGAGTACCTATTGTAGTACAGCATACACAAGCTGAGAAGAATCGCATGGGCAACTCGATGCCAAACCTAATGCCTAAAGGACAAACAGGACCCATGCGATTGTATGTAGGATCTTTGCACTTTAATATCACAGAAGATATGCTTCGCGGAATTTTCGAGCCGTTCGGAAAAATTGATAACATACAGTTAATTATGGACCCTGAGACTGGACGCAGCAAAGGTTATGGTTTCCTCACGGTAAGTTTTTCTAGTCTCATCTATTATGCAAATGTGTCTTCTTTTTAAATATATGCGAAGTTATTATTTCTTTATAAACTAATTGAATCGATATCTTTTAATTTATATAAATCATGTTATATCTATGTAAAATTCAAAATCTTTATTACATTTTCAGTTCAGAAATGCAGATGATGCGAAAAAAGCTTTAGAGCAACTGAATGGATTCGAGCTTGCTGGTAGACCTATGAAAGTTGGCAATGTAACAGAACGAACTGATCTGATTCAGGGACCTTCTCTTCTCGATACAGATGAGTTAGATCGTAGTGGTATTGATCTCGGTGCAACTGGAAGGTACATGAAGTATGATAAAAGAGAAAAGACACACATATACATATGAAAGAAAAGAATATAAATATGCACATATAAACATATAGCAGTATAATATTTTAAAATATTATTTTTAAATATTTACACAATATAATTCTTGCAGATTACAGCTGATGTTCAAGTTGGCGGAAGGTACCGGCCTGGAAATTCCTCCTGCTGCAGCAAACGCTTTAAATATGGCTCCAGTCATGACACAGCCACAGCCGCCACCTCAAGCAGCGCCTCCAATCGCGACACAGTGCTTTATGTTATCGAACATGTTCGATCCACAAAAGTAAGTTGCCTAGATTTCCTCATATCAAAGCAGCATTTACGAATATACATTATAAATTGCATATTTGTAGACCTGGTGTCATGTATGCCGTACTTTCACTAGGGGGAATATATATGCTAAATAAAAATATTATCATACTCTTAAGCATCTGTAAACAGTCATATGCAAAATAATGATAATATGACAAGCTTGTTGTAGACATATTTTTTGAATAATTATTAATCTATTAATATTAATTTTATTAAATATTAAATGTAAATTCGTATATATTTCTAATAATAAAACTATTTTTCTGCAAAATTCAAATTTATAACTTTTATATCGTTATTGATTTCAGTGAGACAAATCCTAATTGGGCAAAGGAAATCCGCGACGATGTAATCGAGGAATGCAACAAGCACGGCGGCGTGCTGCACGTGTACGTGGACCAAGCATCACCACAGGGCAATGTTTATGTGAAGTGTCCGTCGATTGCAACCGCTGTGGCAGCGGTAAATTCGCTACATGGTCGATGGTTTGCCGGTCGTGTCATAACCGCCGCCTACGTGCCGGTAGTGAATTATCACTCTCTGTTCCCGGACGCGATGACCGCGTTGCAACTATTGGTACCGAGCGCGCCACGAAGAGGAATGTGATAATCTTAAAACGAACAAGCGAGCAACAATCGTCGTCCACTGATGTTTAAATCTTTGCGTAGTATTGCGTTCTATTTTCTATCACATACACATACACCTCACTATCATCTCTATTGCATAAGAACACATTTTTTTTATTAACAAAATGGAAAAAAGAAGTATCAGTCTAAATTTCCATGAGAAGTACCGAGTCAATATTTCCATGATGCAGAATAGTTGTCACAATGGCATAAATTCACAGCATATCGTAAATGCAATAAATTCGAATTGTCCCATTTCACAGCATCATGCATCGTTTGCATGAGTTTTTAATCGAAATGTAATCAAAATTTGTGATAGTTGGAAAAATATACGAGGTTTTTTGTTTAACATTTTGAATCTGGCTGTTTCAAATATACATCAATTTGGAAGAGGAGGGGATGGACTACAAAATAAATAATTTTTGTCATATTATATATATATATAATTATAATTTTCTTCTGTTCCATAACATAATGTGAAGCAGATATTAAGTATCTTGAATTTTTTTTTGGCGATATAATAAATAATATATTGCAACATGTGTGAAATATTTTTAGTTATATATTTATATCAAGATTATAAAAAGAATTCATATTATGGGAAGGGGGTGTATATATATATACAATTTCTAAAATGGTTCTTCTCTACCTCGTATAAAAATACATATAAACATGTCCCACTCATAAAATAATGTTTAAAAAATGAGGGCATAAAAAAAGATTTATGGCAGATTCAAAATGTTAACAGTTATTATAAAATATATGTAGTTTTGTTTTTGCACGAAGATAGTCAATAATTTGTTTCTTTCAAAATTACAAAATAAATATTTATTGACATGACGCAAAGTTTCGTTCCACACATCGACATATTATGTTTTGCGTTCAATGTAGCATAATATGTTTTTGAATTTGTTTTCGAGTCAATATTTAATCGATCATTTATAACGATCATATTGGATGAGAAAAACTTAATCCTCTCATTCCTAATTTATTGCTAATACTAAATTTGTATCTAAAGAATGAAACACTCTAAATATTAAAGTAATAAAAGAACATGTCAGTTGCATTGCCTAATTAATTTCAATTCCTTGCTTTTTAGTTTATACCCTCCCTAGATTACTGTGACTGCAATTTAAGTAAAAAAAACTCATTTAATTAGATTTATTTTATCTTCAACTTTGAAATTAAAATAAAATTTATTAGTATATAGAGATTATTGTCATATATATTTATATTGGGGATGAAAGGATTAAGATATGTTTATAATGGTTATAACAGAATGGTTTATACTAACGAGAATTATGTTAAGTACACGTTTTTGTTATATTTATATGGAAATTGAAGAACAAAGATGTATGGTGATGAATTTACACATATTAGAAATCTTTCACTCGGCTAATTACACTGATTCACGATAAGATTTTCTTTACTTTCATTAGCGTAATTTATGCGATTTTGCAATAAATTACCATTTTAATAAAAAGCTATTGTGATCAGAAATAAAATACATAATATATACCATATAAAATCTTTCTATGAGCAGTAAAATGCAATTATAAAGTTTTTAGTTAATATGTAGAGTCACTTATGTACGCAGTTATAACAAAAATAATACACTAAGTAATCTCGAGTTTTTGGAGTCGCAAATAAATTTTCTTATTGCTGAAATGCTCTTGTATTAAAAAAGAATGAAGAGTTAATAAAATTATTGTGCGTATGGTAGACTCGAAATAATTGGTTAAAACGAAATAAATTGTAAGGATTTGTAAAGGTTTTGCATAAAACATTCTTGTTTGTGTTCGTATATTTGTACATGCTGCAAGATTTCGCATAAACAACTACGTTAAACCGGAAACTAAAACTAGAAATTTTTTTTTTAGTTAGAATAATTTATTTTTTTAGATTTTTGTTCTTTTGATTAAATAATGAGAAGATTCTCTTAGATCTCAAAATCTCACAGTTTGTGGAATATAATATAATTCAATCATATAGTATTCATGAAAAAGCAGCATAATTTTTTCCATTCTTTTCTAAAATATATCTCAGAAAGGGATCTATTTATACATCAAACATTCTATAAGTAGTTTCGGATTCAGATAGTTATAAATTATGGAAAATTTCTAATCGTTACATGTAGACTTTCCAAAGTGTCGATTGCGAAACGCAAAAAAATTCAATTTTTTGCTCTTACAGAATAAAAGATTCACTGAAAATATTTTGCGTATTGATGTAAGAAGTTTGTAGTTTAACAAAGTTCAAGATTCTTACCTGTAGATCTCTATGATCGAGGAAGAAACAATTAATTTGTATATAAGTTTTTGTAAATTATAATTCTAAGTAGTGCTGTAGACACATAAGTAATGTTACTTTACTGTATCTTCGTATTAACGAAATATAAATGTATACTTTGATGACTATAAACGAAATTTTGCGCTTTATTACTATTTCAATATGCAGTGAGGAAAAACTGGAGCTTTGACATTACTAAAAAAAGGTAATTTAAATATTAAACATTTTTTTGAGATAAAACTTGATTTCTAGAAAATCTCAGGTAATCTTAATCTGTCAATAAGTTAATTTTCAACAATATAAAAAATATATTAATTTTCAAATGTGAGCGGAAGTAAAGGAGGGCGAATAAATAATTCAGAATTATATATCAAAATCTCGAAGTAATGATCATAAATATCAGTTTCAATGATAGCACCAGAGGTTTTACATGAACGTTTGATAGCTCTTTTATATTACATTCCATGTGTGACTGTGATTTGATTTAATCACCATATATTTAATATAAGTGAAGTTAATTCTAGGCAGCGTCATATGTTTTAAATAATTTCAATATGTATATTTATTATCCTTTTAATTTTAAATCTGCGCACAAGGATATATGATCACTGGGAAATACAACAGATGGTAAACCTGTATGAAGAGTAAGTTCCTCCTTACTAGGCATCGGGATTATTTGCTCCACTTCGAATTTATCTCTCTCGTAGAATATGTAATCTAGGCAACCAGAGAACTCTGGTGTGTAGTTCGTATACTCTGGCGTGCCACAGGCGCTGGACATACAAAGATCCTGCATTAGGGATACATTTTCTATAGCTTCTTCGGCATCTGAAAAAAAAAAAAGATAATTTTGTACAATTGCTTTGATCGCGTACACATCCTATTTAAATTAATAAACAACGAAATTAAAAAGAGCTTTCGTAAATTGATATGAAAAATCACTCACTACTTCTCCAGTCTACGCAGGTCTCCGGAACGTAATTTTCAGTCATTAGCTGATAAATGCCGCATTCCGGCACGCTGTTAAAATCTCCGCAAAGTATTACGCTTGTATTACACTCGGGATTCTGTCAACATATGCATGGTGTAATCGCAATTGCAAAATTATATAATATAAACTTAAAAATGCGTTTAAGACTTGAATAATTTATATGAATGTTAGAACAACGTTTCCAAATTATATTTTCTCTGAACATATAATTTTGTAAATAATTTTTATCGGAAAAAATATCTACCTCTTCCCGTATTCTTTTTGCCACTTCATGTACATATATAATCGCGTAATATCCTTGCAGCAAACGTATGTGATCCGCATCGGGTTTAAAGTATAAATGCGTATTACCGATGACCAAGATTTCAGATCGGTTCTCTTTAGATCGCAATATCGTTACCTAAATTATCATTACATTCAATCTTCTTGATTGATACTAATATTGTAGTAATATCGATAATAAGCATTTTCTCATTACCTGAATAGTTGTATTTCTACCAAAAAATCTCTTCTTCGTCCTTTCATTGTTGATTTTGGACCAAATAGCGGCGAACCTTGGAAAATCGGTATTTTGAGCCATTACACTATATTCAAATCCTAATTTCTCGAATCTTTCTTGATTAAAAAACGTGGCGAGTCCTTCATTAATTTCATTCTTTGTAACAAATACGCCATCGTAATTCAGCATGTACAGAGATGGCAACAAGTCGTACTCATATATTTTCCTGTCTACTTCTTGCAGACAAATTATGTCACTGTTAAAACCTACAATACAAAATGTATTATAAATGTATTATTTCTTCTTAATAATAAAAAAAATAAATAATATTTATTAATCACAGTTTTCAGATTTAAAACATTTTTTAGGACATTTTTTACATTTGATAAAACAATATAAATAGTTTAAGAATTATATGCTTGGTGCGTACCTATTATTTCTTTGAGTATTAATTGCTTTCTGTAGTCCATATCTAATGCATATTGTGGACAATATGGATACAATACATCCTTGGAAAAATCAGAATCAGCATACGTATCTGCTAGTATATTGTAGGACATTATTCTAAAACTGAAAAAATTTGTTTTCTTTCATATATTATATATAAGTAAAATATGTGTTCGATATAATTTCTATTTTGTTATATTATAAATAGATTTTTTCATTTCGTATTTATCACATTTTATGAATATCATAATATACACATACCGCGCGCGTATGTTATGTATATATGCAAGTATACCTTCTGTCCAATAGTTTATGTTTTGTAAATTGGTGTCGAATGTCAAATGGGCATGGTCCAGGGCCAGCCTCTACGACGTTTTTCGACTGTACTTCCATGTTACAACCGAAATCTGACTCGTTTCGCGGTTCGCAGTTGATCTTCAAATTGCAACCAATGTCAGATATATTTGGTACATATAGATATCCATTCCCTATATGTGTCCATAAATTTGGCTTGTTGTTAATAGCATCGTTTTTATACCAGTTAAATATCGATCGTTTCTTGTCAGTGTACAGTGATTCAAATTTAGACGGGTAAGTCGGAAAACCCACAAGTATGCTTGATGGTAACAAAATATTGATGATATAAGGTGCGTTTTGTTTCACTAAAAACGTTTTCTCGAAAATAACTAGCTTAAGTTCTGCATTATCCTGTAGAAGGCTCTCGCACAACACATTGCCATCCACTTTGATATCATCCTTGAGAAGCATGATTTTTCCAGTATCTACGTTGTCATTTGGCAGAGAACTTGTATCCAAAGTGTGATCTTTCTTTCTTTTCCTCTCCATCTAAAAATAAAATTCTTTTTTATTTTTCATGATTAGATATTTTATATTTTATATGCTATATTTTTTTTTAAACTTTTATGTAAAATCTATATTTAAAAATTATAATTTTTCACAATTTTCACAATTAATTTCTTTTCACGAAATTTTTCAAAATTTAATGTATAAAAAATATTATTCTACTTTTTATAATTATTTTTAAAAGAAATTTTTTTTTCAATTGTAGCACAATTTTTAAAACTCCTGTATTGTAAAATATAGTGCCATAATTATAGTAAAATTCATTATATTAATAAAATATAATTTCTTTTGATATTGACTATTTTAGAGAAGAAAAAGCATTTATAAATTCATTGCCTCACATTGAGAAATCCATGTACAAGCAATTAAATGCATCATATCAAGTATACTTTGAAATTATAATTACTATATTTTGCAGGAATAAGAGTAATCTATAAATAAGTAATGGCATGCAATTATCTCCAAGTTTCAAATTCATCACATCAGATTTGAATGTTTTAGACTAATAATTCAACAACTTTCTCTATTGAATGCAATCAATAATATTCATTACAAATGCATACATAACTTTGCATATATTCTCTACATATCATTAAACTGTTTTAATTTATAAATGTTATTTCAGTCAGCGTTCTCACCTTTTTGTTTATGATCTTGCAAACGTTTGTGTCGATCCTCTTGAGGAAGTTGTTCACGCTCTCCGCGGTCTGCCTGGAGAAGTTGAATTGACGGTCAACCTTCATCGTCTCGTCTACGTAGCGGAACGAGATGTCAAAGATCTCGCTACCTTTCTCGTAGCGCAGGAAAGCCTCGTTCATCTTCAACAAGTGTTTCGGTTGTACGTGTTTGCTGCGAAACGACGTGAAAATCGACGACGAGAACAGGTAAGCTCTGTACGAGAACAATTTAACCGCGAACACACTTTGCATTATAATCACATCCACATTTCGTTCACCTCAAAATACACAGTACAGAGCTCCGATCAAAACTATTTAACACATTAAAAATCAGATTTAATAATTTAAGCGTATGTAAGTTGGGGAAAAGGGAGTTTCAGCGTTGGAAAGAAAATGAATTTGAGGTTATAAATACTTTTGTGGTGTTTTTTCTTCGCGCACATGCAAGAGATGTGTTACTTGGCAATGTAGAGACCTACGTTAACCATGGTCATATTATAGAGAACGATTTTCTTGTTTGTATTCTACACGTTAGATGGCGCCATAAGGTTATGAAAAAATTGGCACTTACGCTGATTTTTATTTAATAAAATAAAAAAATATTTATATGTATTATAAAGTGATTACTCTTTTTATGAAAGATTCGGAAAGCTGAACAGAACACGAAAATTTAGGATAATATACTTAAATCTTTATTTTAGGATATTTTTATTTTTGCATAAAGTCATATTCTTTAACCAGTCTGAATTTTGCTTATATCTCTGTCTCTCGTGAAATAGTTACATAATACAATGCGATGATTTATTTTCTGTTTTCTAATTTTATTTTTCTGTTTTTATATCTTCGTTATCTTCTAATTGTGTTTCCTCGCGTTCTTCTGATTTTGTTTTCTCGAATTTTTCTAACTTTATTTCTTCATATTTTTCTGATTTCGCGTCCTCGTATAATTCTCCTTCTCTTTCTTCGTGTTTTTCTAATCTCTTTTCCTCGGATTTCTCCGATTTAGTTTCCTCGTATTTTTCTTCTTCTGTTTCTTCATATTTTTCTAATCTCGTTTCCTCGGATTTCTTTGATTTAGTTTCCTCGGATTTCTCTGATTTAGTTTCCTCGGATTTCTCTGATTTAGTTTCCTCGAATTTCTCTGATTTAGTTTCCTCGAATTTCTCTGATTTAGTCTCCTCAGATTTTTCCGATTTCTTTTCTTCATCGTGTTCTTTATGTAATTCTGTTTCCTCGTATTTCTCAGATTTTATTTCCTCACATTCTTCTAATACCTTTTCTTCATGTTCTTCTAATTTCGTATCATCATTTCGTTTCGCAGAAATTGTTTCTTCTTCAATCTTCGACTCGGACTTTTTTTTTAAATCTTCCTTCCTTCTTCCTCTCGATCGTCCCGCTCTTGTTGGATACTTGACGGTCACGCATGTCGGAACTTTTTTCTTAATCATCTGTAACTTTGCAAATTTTTAATCATCGCTCGCGCAATAACCGCTTAATAATTACTTACCATACGAGGTAGTATTTTTTTAGTCGTAATTTTTCGGGCAGTTATGGTCTTGTCCCAGGCCTGTTTCTCGTGCCACCAAATACGCTGATAGTCGTTCGAGAGTAATTGTTCGATACGAGGACGTCTTTCTCTGTGGAAATCGAAAATCGTAAAAAAAAAATATATATAATACATATTTTTCCTTGGAAATTGGTAAGAAGAAAAAAAAATTTAATATAGAAGACAATTCGAGAAGAATTTCTTTACTATTTGTACTTCAATCTTTATTCATTTACAATTTACATCTAGCTTTTTTTTATTTGAAATCTATCATAATTCTTTAGTATTTTTTAGATGTTTTTAAATTTAATTGATGTCTTTAGATTTTTTATAATTTTTTTTTGATGTTGTTTCCTTGCAAAGAATGCCATGAGAATAATAGATCTGTTCTTTATAGCTGAATTAGTGCAGCCAGTTTAGCTTTAAAGAACAGACTTAATCTCAATGCATTCTCTTGGAAACTATTGATATAGTATTCTATGACTAAACAATTCGATTATCGTATCTTAGTTTCCCTTATATCTTATATTACATATCTATGATTATATTATTATATCTGTGAGTTTAATGACTTTGGATCGCGAGCTTTTTCTCCTGTATCTATTAAGTGCATACAAATATTCATACTTTTCGTACGACGGCACGAATGCTCTCGTCGTCGTGT